GGGGTGGGGCAGTATTGGGGATTTTGTGCAACATCGCAGTCACTCTCCCTGAGAGGGTGGGAACAGATCATTAATATTCATGAGTTCATGTTTGTGTATTCACTTAGATAGTTACAGAATTCAGAAATAATATATATATTATACAAAGTAGATCTTCTATAAAGTCCCCCCAAAACAGGGGAGACATCGATTGTAAAACAGCTCTGGTTTTGAGACAAAGTTTCCCAGCGAGTCTGTTGTGGCATAGAGAGACATTCTTCTTCAGATTTTTAAGTTCAGCTTAATAATATAAACTTGTTGTTGTAAAAGTAAAACACAAAGATTACGTTTGCTGCCAATAACTGTTACAACCTTTTTTTTCTGTAAAATTGATTTCCAACAATAATATCATACATGAATGGTGACACTAGGATTCTGAATCATTCTGCAAGGTTCCACTTGATAGCCAACCCGGAGTCTTTGGTGTTGAGGTTAGACGTTTTGTTGTTGCACGCAGAAGACGTGGGTTCGATTCCCATGTGAGGACATTGTTTTTATCGAGGATCATTATCCGCCTGGGATGGCCCCAACAGACAGGGTCGAAGGTCGATTCCTTCAAGATGTACATTGTGTCGCTGGGGTCGTGCAACTCTTACAACGTATTTCCAACGTCATAACACTTGAGGGATAAACATCGGTTGGAAGGTGGCTGGACTGAGGACAACAATGACACATTTCATCTGTCATTATACATATTATTATGCTACAACATCATATTCTTCACAACCTGAAAAACAAATCTCTGAGAATCTTTTTGACAGCATGCTATATGATTTGGGACCCCGACCCCCCTCCCTTCTCCCTCCCTCGCCCCCGACCTTCTACTCCTCCTCACCAGACTTTATTGAGCAATGCACCAGCCATGGTTCTCGATACCTCAATAGTTCACGCACACACTGGCTGTTGGGAGTGTGTATCGTACAAACACTGGATTATCTCAGTACAACCTGCTCGGTACTTCAATGAAACAGCTCAGTACAATAATCTGCTCTCTACTTCAATGAAACATCTCAGTATAATAACCCCGTCTGTAACACAACGGAACATCGTTACTAAGTTACTAAGAATCTCATTATAATGAGAGCACGATTCTCAGTATAACCTGCTCTGTAACAATGAAACACCGTTCTAAGAATCTCGTCTCTAACACAACGGAACATGGCTCCTAAGAATCTCGGTAGAACACAACGGAACATGGCTCCTACGACTCTTTACCCACGATCTGAAACTCGAGGAAGGGAGAGAAGCGAGCCGTCTCCCTGTTGAGCCGGGCGTAGAGTTTGGCGACGCAGGGGGTGTGGCTGGTGGTGAGACACGCCTCCCAGATGTGGTCCGGGTGTTGGCGGAAGTGGTACCAGGCGTCGCCCATGAGCAGCGCCATGTCACACACCAGTGGCGCCCTCACGCGGAACGTGACCCGTGAGCTGACGGGGAGGTCACCGCGCAAAGGCTCCAGGAGCTGGCTGTGGCACCATCGGTGGCAGGCGCGGGGGAGAGGAGACTTGTTGGTGGCGCTCTGTTTGCTGTCGATCAGGTACCGGAACAGACACTCGTACTGGCCGTCTGGCTCCTCAGGGTTCGCCGATTTGGCTCCGTAGATGGAGAAGACATACTTCCCTACATGAGGGCAGCGGACTTGTAGCGCCATGGAGGTGTCGTCTCGGTGTCGGAGGAAGGCGTATCGTTGTAGGTCAGCGTCTATCGCGTCGGCTCGCTGGCAGTGAAACGTGAGGGAGTAGGAGAGCCGCACCGCACGACTGGCGGCGAACTGGAAGTTGATGTCGTCGTGGTTGTAGGAGACCAGGGGGTCGATGTGGGTCTGAGGCAGGAGGCCGTAGTTGGCCATGCTCTGCGTGGGGCCGAAGAAGCAGACTTTGGGGTACGGCGACTTGATCGTCTCTCTCCCCTCGCGACACGTGATCTGAAACGCGCATGCGCTCTGGAGCAGTTCTGAACCGCTCTCGTCCTTGACGTAAATCGTGAAGTGGTAGCGTCCCCTCTTCGGGGGCGCGATGCTGAACATGGCTTTGTGACCGATGATTCTCAGCAACACTCGGCCCTCCAGAGAGTTGGGGTTCACCACTCGCTTGTCACGGGGGACCAGAGTGTAGCCAAAGGTCAGCAGGCGCGGGATCTTGAGCTGCATGGTGACCTCCCCTTTGTGGGTGTACTGCTTACAGTCATAATGGCTTGCGAACTTGAGACCGGCGTTGAAAAACGGAGACTTGACCACGGGGAGGTCCAGGAACTCGGACATGGTGATGGGAACCTCGAGTAGCTGCCAGGCCGGGTCGTCCGGGTAGTGCTGGTAGATGTGGTCCTCGGGGTCCGTGATGAAGTAGAACTCGTCGCACTGGTAAAAGAGCGGCTTCCGGGCCAGGTCGGTGCCCGGGTCCTCACCCAGCACGCTCTCACCCACAGTGCTCACGGAGTCGCGGCGGTCAGAGCGACCACCGGAACTGTCACTGTG